TCAATCCTTTGAAGATACCTAAAGATAATTCTTTTGAATTCCTTATCAGAGAGTTCCAATGCTGTTTCTTCCTCAGGGATATATTCTGGATCTATATCCTGCTCCCTTGTTTCTACCACTTTATCTTGCTTCTTTTTGTGGACTCTGATGGTCTGTTGTCTCCAAGACATCGTGGTGTTGTTGTATTAAGGTCTCTGTTAACTGTTTGTGAAGAGCAGCCAAGGGTGATTAAGGCTCTGCTTGGTGTATATTTATCATTGGCCCGTTGATGGAGAAGGAGGTGGTGGCTCTCCCTCAGTAAGTGAAGTTGCAGGAGGTGTGGGTGTAGTTGTTTCTTATGGGGACTGTTGCTGTCTCCTACTCAATCAGACAAAAATTTCAACTGAATAGCCATCAAAAAAACTAAAAGCACATGGACAAAAAATACTCCATGTAATCACATAGGAACAGTAACCAAAAAAAGTAAAAAGGGAAAAAGTAGAAGAAAAAAACAAGAACCTGCAATATCTGGGTATAGGGCAATAAGATAAAAAAAGGTAGAGAAGGAGAATAATCAAGAAAAAAATGGGAAAAATGCAAAAAGATAAACAAGGAACAGGGTTAACTATGAGGAAAAAAAAAAAAAAATTGCCACCGTGAACAGGGGAAAGAAAAAGAGCTGAAATCTAGGACCTCGGAGGGGAATAATAATAGCAAAAAGGACAAATGTATTAATAATAATAGTAGTTTTAATACAGACAAAAACAAGCAAACTGAAAACCAGAAAAAAGAAAAAAATCAGTGGAGGGTAGGGCAGGGCACCCAGGCTCTGCCTAAGCACACAGACTAGAATGGAGTTCCTGTGGGCCCAGATGGTGGGTGGGAGTGGGGGATGGCCACACTTCCGTTCACCAAGGGGTATGGAGTATAAGAGTAATAAGGAGAATGTTGCACCTTTTCAGTCATCTAGGTCCAGAGTGTCCTTGGGGTTACTGGCAAGCAGAACCTGTTCTTAAGCCCCTGGAATCTCGGAGAGTGCTGTCTCTTTAAATATCCAAATGGTCAACCTGCTTGTAAATCTTCAAAATAGTGGCACCCTCCAGACAGGCAAAAGTCCACAGCTCAGCCCGCCTTTCTCTTCATTGGTGCTTCGCGTTTTATTCCCCAGCCACCAGAGCAGTCCTCCATGCAGTGTCTGGCTAGCAGGGCTGATTTTTAGATTAATTCTTAGGTCCCACCACCACTCGGCACTCTCCAAGCTGTCTGTGCCATGCCATCAGGCTTGCTCATGATTGCTGCCAGACTGCAGCTCCGTATGTCTCCTTTTTTGGTATTTTCATGCAAATTCTTCTGCTAGTTGGGGTTTAGTCCACTTCTATATCCTTCCCTTCAAGGCTTGGGGTCCAGGATTATCTTCTGTGTCTGTATTAATTGGTTCCCATTTTCTTTGTTGAAGAGGGTCTGTGCAGTCTTTCTCCCTATTCCACCATCTTACCGGAAGTCCATAAAAATAATATTGCTGTTGTTGTCTTGTGCTGTTGAGCTGGACCCGACTCATAGTGACCCCTCCTTGGGTTTCCAAGGTGGTATCACTACAAAAGTATACTGCCCAATCTTTCTGCTAAGGAGTGCCTGGTGGGTTTGAATCACCAGCCTTTTGGTTAGCAGTCAAGTGCCTTAGGCACTACACTACCAGAGCTCGCAAAAATAATATTAGATCTATTTATTGACCTAGAGAGATAGCCACTGATATTTAAAAAGAAGCAAAAAGCAGGTGATACATATTATTATTTTGGTCTCATTTTTGCACACTAAAACCAAAAACTCTATGTGCATATATACTTATATATATCCATTTAAGCTTAGTAGAACATAATATGGAAGTACATAATCCAAACTATTAAGTAGGATTGGAAGCAAAGAAAAAACAGTAGTTTGTCAAATACCCTGGCACTGTTAAAATCATTACAGTGTGCATTTTGATTTTTACAATAAATAAAAATTAGAAAGGAAAGAAAAAAAACCACTTACCCATTCCTGCTGCTATGACTGGCACAGGTAAGTCATAGTTGTATAAAAGAAAAGACAACATCAGAAAGTCAATATAACTGCGATGACTAGGCAGCAGGACAACTGGATGCTCCTGGATGGCTCGTTGTACCTTTAAAAAAAATTTTAGGTTGTGAATAATTTTAGTCATCACAGTGTCACAATCAGATCTCAAACTAGAGAACTGAAGAATATATGCATATAAACAAAAGACAAAGCTATGATAATTCCTTAGGCATAGTCAACCACCTTGATGAAGTGAGTTGTTGGACCTGTGGGCTTAGAAGCATGGTTGCAGGGCACATCAGGCTCACTACATCCTATTTTGGTGAGCAGTGACTGGGTTCTGCAAAGCTTGCAAGCAGCCATCAAGATCCAACAATTGGTGTCTCCTCATCCAGGGTAAAGAAGAATGAAGAAACCCAAAGACACATGGAAACAATTAGTCCAAAAGACTAGTAGACCACATGAACCTCTGTCTATGTGGCCATGAGACCAGAATAATTAGACAGTGCCCAGCTACCACTGTCAATCACTCAAAAACGGAGATCCTGGATAAAGCAGGAAAACAATGTAGAGCAAAACTCAAAATCAAGGGAAAAAAAAAAAAGAGAGAAGGTTTACTGCTCTGATAGAGCCTGGTGAAACCCCTAAGACTATGGCCTGTAGTTACCTTTTAGGCTTGGAACTGAACTCATTCCCATGGCTTTCAGCTACATGATAGACAGGCATATAAGGTGAACTTTTATGTCAGGTAGATATACTCCTTAGAACAAGCAATCATGGGAGAATAGACAGGCAATATTTACACAGGAAGACAGCTCAGGGGGCAGGAATGCACAGGAAAGAAGGACAAAGGGAGGAGGTGACTACAGGGAAGAAGTAGGAAGAAAGCTGTTACATTGTGGGGATTACAGACAGTGTCATGAAACAAAATATGTATGAAGTGCTGTATGGACAATGAATTTGTTCTGTGAATTTCCACCCTAGTCACAATAAAAATTAAAAAAAAAAAAATAAGTATATGTGTATTTGTGTGTGTATGTATATATAATGGGAGCTCTGATAGCGTAGTGCCTAAGGCACTTGACTGCTAACTAGAAGGCTGGCAGTTCAAACCCACCAGCTACTCCTCGGAAGGAAGATGGGGCAATCTACTTCTGTGGTGTTACTGCCTTGGAAACCCAAGGAGGGATCACTATGAGTCAGGTCTGACTCGACGGCATATAAACAACACAATAACGTATACACACACACACACACACATATACCATTTTATATATATATATATATATATATATATACACACACACACCATCATATATATATTTGTGCATATGCATATCTGTATATATATCTATGTGTATATTATATAACGTATATATTGTCTTCTCTATCATACACATAAAACAATTTAGTCTGAAAAGATAAAAACAGTTTTTCAGAGTTCTAGTTAAATGTCACATAATTCAAGAATATTAAAAATGTAGACTTGTGGGGCAGGGTGGTTTAGTGGGAGAATTTTTACCTTCCACAAAGGAGACCTGGGTTCAATTCCCTGAGCTAACAATGATTCACTAGTGTAGTAATGTAACAGTCTTTCATACTTCTCCTCTAAAGGTTCTTCTCTAACCACTCAATCTGAAAAATGTAAACTTTTATGGATTATAATAATAATAAAAATGATCACTAACACATTATTAGTTGGGTACCATATTAAGCATTTTACATACTAACCATTTTACATACATTGTTCAATATCCCACATAGTGGCTAAAGCACTTGACTGCTAACCAGAAGGCTGGTGGTTCAAACCCACCAGCCACTCCTCGGAAGGAAGGCTGGGCAATCCTACTTCCGTAGTGATACTGCCTCGGAAACCCAAGGAGGGGTCGCTATGAGTCGGGGCCGACTTGACGGCACATAACAACAACAACAACAAACCTTGGCTACTATGTTTACAAAATGGTCATGTATCTAAAAAATGGTGTAGTTGGGAATGGTATTTAAGTTAGAATGTCTTGAAAGTCAACAGTTAACTACAGCATAAGACTGGTTTTTTGTAGTAAGAAAAAACAAGATTCTTCTAGGGAGATTAATTTAAAAACAAACAAACAAACCATGGTTTCTGTCAAGTAGATTGAACTCTTGGTGACCCCATGTGTGTTATATAGTGTAACAGTGCTCCATAGGGTATTTTTTGGAAGTAGATTGCTAGGCCTTTATTCTAAGGCTCTTCTGGGTGAACTTGAACCCCCAATCTTTTTTTTTTAATTGTGATTTGGGTGAAAGTTTACAGAGCACATTCACTTTCCATACAGCAGTTCACATACACTTTGTCTCATGACATTGATTACAATTTACGACAATGCAACAGCTCCCTCCTACTTCCTACCAATAGTTATCTCTTCCCTGTGTCCACCCCTCCATGCACTCCTGCCCTCTGAGCTGTCTCCCTGTGCATAAACAGTCCTTCTTTCTGCCATTATTGTTCTCTCCAACGAGTGTAAATGTTCATCTCAAATGCCTGTCTTTTGTGTGGCTGGAAGACACAGGTGTGGGTACAATTACAGGCCTGAAGGGCAGCTAGGGGTTATAGTCTCAGTGGTTCCACCAAGCTCTATCAGACCAGCAAACATGGTCCCTTTTTATATCCCCCCAAATGATTCTGAGTTTTGTTCCACATTGTTCTCCTTCTCTATCCAGGATCTCCCACATAGATTCCCCTCCGAGTGGTTGACAGTGGTAACCAGGTACCATCTAGTTCTTCTGGTCTCTTATTTGTACAGGCTGTGGATCACATGGGGTACCAGTCGCTGGGACTAATTGTTTCCTTCCCCCTTTCGTTTCCTTGAATCTTTGGTTTTCTTCATATTTCTTTGCTCTGGATGAGGAGAAACCCATCATTGCATCTAGATGGCTGCTTGCAAGCTTTTTAAGCTCCCAGTTGCTACTCACCAAAGTAGGAGGTGGAACAATGTTTTGTGTAGTATGTTATGCCAATTGAGCTTGATGTCCCCTGCGACTATGGTCCCGAGCCCACAGGATCAACTACTCGCTCCCTTTGGAATACCCAATCTTTTAGTTAGGAGTCAAGCATGTTTTCACCACCCAGGGACTACTTAAACTTTTTTTTTATATAAGATCCATAAAGGAGCTCTGGTAGCATAGTGCCTAAGGCACCTGACTGCTAACCAGAAGGCTGGCGGTTCAAACCCACCAGCCACTCCTCAGAAGGAAGATTGGACAATCTACTTCCGTAGTGATAATGCCTTGGAACCCAAGGAGGGGTCACTATGAGTTGGTTCTGACTCCAGGACTCCACAGCACATAACAACAACAACAAAGATCCATAAATAATTAGAACAAAGTGAGATAAAAGGTAGTTCTCTATTTATATGCTGGCTTCATTGTCATGGAGAATGGGAGTCAAGTGGCTGGAAGAGATGTATTTGAGAGTTTCCAGATATACTTATTAGGCTCTTTATCAACCTCAAAAAATATTCACTAGTACCAATTCATTACCTGTTTTTCTGAAATCCAAATATAACCAACTTGTTGTTGTTATGTGCCATAACGACCCCTCCTTGGGTTTCTGAGGCAGTATCACTACGGAAGTAGATTGCCTGACCTTCCTCCCAAGGAATGGCTGGTAGGTTTGAACCACCAGCCTTCTGGTTAGCAGTCAAGTGCCTTAGGCACTATGCTACCAGACCCAACTTAGGCAAGGCAATATGTGATCAGTGATTACACTGCAAGTCAAGACAATGGCTGGCCCAAACACTTTATCATTCTTTGAAAAAGATACAGAGAGTAAATCAACAATCTAGAAAATAGTCAGAGGAAGAAAAAGGGGGAGTATCTTGAAATAAAAGTTAATGACTGAATAAAAACAAAATATTAAAAGCCATGAAGAGGGAAGCAAATAAAGGTAAAGAGCTTCCTGATAGGAGAAAAAAAAAATTCTTAAAGAAAGCAAATAAGTAAAAATAACTTCTATAGGGAAAGTTCTTCCTTAAAGTAAAAGGCAAAGTAATAAATACTAGGAGTGATGGAATTATAAAAATGACCATTTGGCAACCATTAGAAAAATAATTAGTTTAGGTAAGATCCATCAGTGAATGCTAAAACTAGCAGGCGAAGGTATGAGACACAGGACACTTACATAGTCTGAAAGTATCTCACAAAAGAGATTTATTAATTACAAAGGGAAAAACAGCTGTTTTACAGTAAAGAAGCTGGCAGACAGCACTTTCACCAAGTGATGAAAGTTAATATGCCCAGAATCAAATATTGAGAAAACAATGATCAAACTAAAATTAAGGGACACTATAAAAGAACTGGCTTGTTCTTTTCAAAAATAATACCATGAAACACAAAGAAAGATGCAGGAATTGTTGGAAACTAAGAGTAAAGAGATATGGAAACTGAATACAACATATGATTGCGGATTTTCTTTTTTCTACACAGGACAAAACTGGTGTAATTGGTGAAATATGAATAAGGTCTGTATTACTAGTATTCTATCAAGGTTAATTTCCTTATTTTGATAGCTGTACTACTATAAGAGAATGCCCTTGTTTAGAGGAAATATGTCCCAGAGTACTGAGAAATAAGAACAAAACAAGCATAGGGAATCTACTTCCTTATATTATTTTTGTTAACTTTTACACATCAGACCTTAAGTCAATCTGCAAGTTTCAAAGTCTTACTTGACTAATAAATAGTATGAAATCTATAGGCCTGAAATAAGCACCAAAAAAATCCTTAAGAGAGGCAGATCTTTTCTGCCTAGACTAGATGCCTGATGACTAATTACCAAAAACCAAACTCACTGCCATCAAGTTGATTCCGACTCATAGCGACCCCTATGGATTTCTGAGGCGGTATCTCTACGGAAGTAGATTGCCCAGTCTTCCTTCTGAGGAGTGGCTGGTGGGTTTGAACCACCAGCCTTCTGGTTAGCGGTCAAAGCCTTAGGCACTACACCACCAGCGCTCCCTTAGCTATGTAACGCCAAAGTCAGATTTCCTTAAGTTAACTAAATCACAAGGAGCTAAAAAGAGATCAAAAAAAAAAAAAAAAAAAATAGCAAAACAAAATGAAGAAAGCCTAAGGTTTATGTGGGATACCATCGAAAGGAATAACTTGGGCACTCATATTTCAATTAGTTCAAATGACCAAATGCACTCAAAAAAAAAAAAAAAAAAAAAAGCAGTACTCACTTTCTGAATACCTTCTTCATTTACACACACTTTTGAGAAAATTTGTTTAAATACTTTGCTCAAGGTGAAGGCAAAAAACCGGATAGCTCCCAGACGCAGTTTGTGACTCATTTCATCCAAGATTTCACAAGCTTCTTCTCGGAGGACATCAACAGATTGAAGAGATTCCTTAGAAAGCTAAAAGTAAATGGAAAGCAGAAATAATTTTTTTTTTTTTTGAAAAAAAAAAAAAGCCAGGACTTTTTTTTTTTAAACTGAAACCAATGCTATAACTCAAAGATGTCATGTGTTCGTAAAATGATATAATTTATTTTCTAAAACAGTAAAAGTAGGTAAATAAATGATCCTATTAAGAAAAGTTTAAAGACTAGAAATTCAAAGAGATTGGTTTTCTAGGGTAGTATTAAAAAAAAAAAAAAAAAAACCCAACTTTTATTGTGATTTGGGTAAAGTTTGCAGAGCAAATCAGTTTTCCAAGTCAACATTTTACACACATTTTGTTTCATGTCATTGATTGCAATCCCCTCAACTTAACATCAGTCAACCTACTTCCTTCCTGTGTTTCGCATTTCCATTCCTCCCTCTCTCCTAAACTTTCCTGCTTTCTGAACTTCATCCTTGGACACATATTGCCCTTTTGATCTTGAATGGTTGATTATTCTAAGGAGAGTGTACCTTCTGAGAGTTATTGTTCATCTTATAGACCTATTACTTTACTTGAAAATTCAGCTATGGGAGTAAGTACCAACTCCAAAGTTGTGACCAAGGGCAATAGTCCTGGAGGTTCCACCAGTCTCTATACAACCAATAAGCCTGTTTTGTTTTTCCTTACGATTTTAAGTTTTGTTCCACATTATTCTTCTACTAGGATAGCACTTTTTGACTAAGAAAATATCTCACCTTTCCACCTGATTTGTTAATAAATTTATATCTAAATTCTCTAAAATAAGCTGTTGCCCATGATCAAACATTCTAGGATACACATTTAGCAGTCTCTTCCTGTAGATTGTTGCAGCATTCATCCACCTGCTCAATGCTATTACGAGGTAATACACAAGGTAAAAATACGAGATTATTTTGAAATAATCAATTCAGACTATATCAGATATATAGGTCATTAGTACAAAGTTAGTGAAATCAGTGATCTTACAATGAAACCTTTTCAATCACATTTCTTTCTGTAGGAAAAAAAAATGTTTATTGTGTGCTAGGACTGTCAAGGACCTGAAGACGAGCAGCTCACAATTCTGTCCTTAAGGAAATCTCATTTAGTCCTTTTACCTTACTCCTAGGTAAGAATTTTGAAAAGTATTTAATTCTATTGTTGTTGCTGTTGTTGTTATGTACTGTTGAGTCTGACTCAACTCATAGCGACCCTTCCTAGGGTTTCCAAGGCAGTGTCACTACGGAAGTAGATTGCCCAATCTTCCTTTCGAGGAGTGGCTGTTGGGTTTGAACTGCCAACCTTCTGGTTAGCAGTCAAGCGCCTTAGGCACTACACTACCAGAGCTCCCATTAGTGATAAATAATATTTATCCTTCCTAAAGGAGAATGCTCTGCTTTAGGATGAGGCACAGAAAAGTGAGGATGGCATAAAGGAACCCCCAACTTACCCAACTATACACAATAAAGAAATATAATTTTATTTCATTGAGGTGAAATTCACACAACTTAAATCATTTTAAAGTGAGCAATTTGGTGCATTTAGTACATTCACTATGTTGGGTAATTACTCTGTCTAGTTCTCTATACTATCTTTTTGAGAGCTCAATGGTAGACTGGGATACACCATTTCCTATTACCCATATTCCTTTTTTTTAACTGGAGTTAAAATAGTAATCTTAGCTAGAAAAGGCTTAGCAATATGCGCAGGACAGAGCCCATACTGAATAGAAACAGACTAGTGCCTAAGGCACTTGACTGTTAATGAGAAGGCTGGTGGTTCAAACCCACAAGCCACTCCTAGAAGGAAGGTTGGGCAATCTACTTCCATAGTGATACTGCCTCGGAAACCAAAGAAGGGGTCGCTATGAGTTGGGTCTGACTAGACGGCACATAACAACAACAACAACAAAGACCGAGTGAATAGGAAGTAGGGTAGTAAAGACAGTGGCCAAAAAATAACTAAAAACTTTGAATGAGAAAAAAGAAAAGAAAGAACATCATGTTAAAGCAAAAATGCTTTCCCAAGATGGAAAACCCATCGATATGCTAGCTGAAAGAGAAAGGCAAACAGCAGAGGAAAGGGAAAGAATACCTGCTAAAATCAAACCCAAATTTCAAAGGCTGTAAATCTTTACGGAAGCAGACTACCACATCTTTCTCCTGTAGAACAGCTGGGGGGTTCAAACTGCCATCCTTATGCTTGGAAGCTGGAAGGGAGGGCATCAAGACCACATATGAGGTCAGACTTGACATGGAAAACAGATGCTTTGTCTCTGAGATTAGACTGAAAAACAGGCATAGGGATGGGCATGGGTACAGATACATTTGAAAGTAAGGAACAGGAATTTGAGGAAAACAACCACTATGTTTCCTATTACCTGAGAGAAAAACATGTTTGTTTGCTAACAGCAAGAGGAGCAGGGCCTAAAAAAGCTGAAGGCAGCATGAAAGTTTAATAGAGTCCAGGAAAGGGGAATGGAAGTGGATCTAGAAAAGGGACTAATGTCAAAAGGGATCATGTGTTTGTATAGCACTGATCTGTACAATTCTGCCAGCTCTCTCAGCAGTAGCAGTGGTCATCTTGTTACATGAATAGAGCAGGGGAACGGGCAGAGATCCTGGGTTCCTTTATTTTCTGGGCAGTTTAGAAGGAGAATTAGGGCACAGAAAAATTAAGGATGTTGGTGAAATATTAAATCACCCAAACAAAGGTTGAAGAGGAAGAACAGGCAGACAGGCAGAATAAGACAAAGGGGAAATTGAGAAATTAAGTAACTGGTGGGAGCAGGAAGGATGGATTTCAGGAAACAAGCCTAGAAATAAGAGTGCAGTTAGAAAACTATGGCAATAGTTCAGGTCAGTGATGGTAAAGGCCCAAACAAGAGTAGTAACAGGTGCTAAAGAGAAGTGAAAGGGCCAGGTGATACTCAGTTTTCTGTTTCAGGCAACTGACTAGATGGTGGAAACATCCCTTGATATAGGGTATATAGACCAAGGGCAGAAAGCAGTATAATGGAGTTAAGAGAGCAGGTAGTCTAACAAAGGGAAATGTATGGACAAGTATAAGGGCTAGTAATAATTCTATTATTATTAAGGACTTATTGATAATTCTAATTGTCTGTCCTTGGAATGGAGAAGGGAAACAAAATGGCTCACTTTAATAAACCAACAAAACACAAAAGCAAGCAGTAGTAAAGGGAAAAGATAAAGAAGGTTTCTCACTGCCGTCAAGTTGGTTCTGACTCATAGTGACCCCTCCTTGGGTTTCCAAGGTGGTATCTCTATGGAAGTAGATTGCCCAGTCTGCCTTCCAAGGAGTGGCTGGTGGGTCTGAACTGCCAGCCTTCTGGGTAGCAGTCAAATGCCTTAGGCACTACACCACCAGAGCTCCCAAAGAAGGCTTACTCACACATAAATAGAACAAAGGAAAAGAACCACATGATCATTTCTTTGGACGGAGAAAAAGCATTTGATAAAATCCAACACCCTAAAAGAGTGAAGAAAATACAAGACACATAGAAACAACTCATACTAGTCCAAAGGACTAACGGATCACACAAACCTCAGCCTCCATGACTTTGAAACCAGAGGAACTAAATGGTGTCTGGCTATCACTACCAACCGCTCTGAAAGGAACATACTAGAAGGTCCTGGATAGACTGGGAGAAAAATGTGGAACAAAATTCCAAATTATAAAAAAAGACCAGAGCAGTGGTCAGATAGAGGCTGGTAGAATCCCCAAGACTATGGTCCTTGGTCACCCTTTGAACTCACAACTGAACTGACTCCTGTAGCTGAATTTTCAGTCAAACAACAGACAGGTCTACAAGGTAGACAACAACTCCAGGAAGATACACACTCCTTAGAACAATCAACCATTTGAGGTTAAAAGGGCAGCATATGCCAAGGACAAAGTTCAGAAGGCAGGAAGGGCTAGGAGAGAAGGAGGAATGGAAATGAAAAGCACAGGGAGGATGTGAGAGGGCGAAGTTACATTGAGAGGATTACAATCAGTGAGATGAAACAAAATGTGTAGGAATTATTGAATGAAAAACTGATTTGCTCTGTAAAGTTTTCACCCAAATCACAATGAAACACTAAAAAGATTAAAAAAAAAAAAAAACAAAACAACAGACTTCTGGTAAAATGGTGGAACAGGCAGGCAAGCTACACAGACCATCTTCAACAAAGAAAAGAGAAACCTATTGACACACATACACAAGATAATCCTGGAGCCCTAAGCTTTGAAAGGAAGAATACAGAAGTGGATTAAACACCAACTAGTAGAAAGACCTAAATGAAAACAGTGAATAAGGAGAAAAATGGAGCTGTAGACTGTCAGCTCTCCTGATGGCATGGACAGCCTGAATAGTTCCAAGTGGTATTAGGACTTGAGAATTAACCAAAAAATAGGCCCTGTTCACCAAGGGCTACATGGGTGACCACACTGGCAGCTAATGAATAAAAAGGTAAACAGCAAAGGAGACAAACTTAGTTGTGGACTTCCGGGTGTCCAGAGGGAACAGCCATTTTGAATGTTTACAAGTGGTGGCCATTTTGGATATGTAAAGCGACAGCATTCCTGTTCAGATTCCTAGGAGCTCTGGTAGCATAGTGCCTAAGGCACTTGACTGCTAACCAGAAGGCTGGTGCTTCAAACCCACCAGCCACTCCTCGGAAGGAAGGTTGGGCAATCTACTTCCATAATGATACTGCCTTGGAAACCCAAAGAGGGTCATTATGGGTTGGGTCCGACTCGACGGCACATAACAACAAGCTCCGCTTGTCAAGGCCAGCATGAACATAAGGAAGACTGATGACTGGAAAGGTGACAGGTGGTGAGTGCAAAAGTGCTTCCAACTAGCGAACAGAAGAACACAGGACCCTTCTTACTCAGATAACACTCAAACAAAACAATGAAAACAAAAATCCGGGGTGAATCACTCCAACATATGATCACCAATTCAATATAAACACAAAAATGTCACAATGTGTCAGAGACAACACAATGT